GACGTCTTCGTCCTATGTTCCATAGGGCTCTGATTCTACCTCATCAAATGTCTTTGTGTCATACATAGCTGTTCCAATATTACAGTGCGTTCCATGAGTATAAAAAAAAATAAGCAGCCAAACCGATGCACTCTTAGCACCACCATCAGATTCGTCGTCTAATTCTCCACAGAATTTCTTCGTAACCTCGTATCGAGTATGCACGTAAGCTATTCAATGTTGGGCTAGAATGAGGTGGGCCCAATGAATATTAATTGCTGTTCGTTCATCATTATCGTTGATGAATTGTTCGAAGGCACAGTCCGCGATGAAAACGGCTTTGAAGTAACCCTTATGGTATGAATTCGAGACTGCCCCTTATACCATACCTGCCAGTATGAGATCGAAAAACGTCGTGGATAGATCACAATAAGGGGTCAGAGATTATATCGTGTGAGGGCCACACTCGTAGTGGACGAGTTTCAGGCGCTTTGAAGAGGCTGCACGATCTCAACCGACTCCCATGTATAAAGTTCAAACAACTTGTCATAATCTATGGCAGCACTGAATGCAGTTTTGGACAATGTCGGCTTGATTTTATTGTCTCTTTTCGCAATGGGAGTAAGTTGAATCTCGTCGAAACACATCTTACATACCATTCCCGTCACGGTGATCTCGTACGACCTTCACTTCTACTACTTTTGAGAAGCCTCGCCTCCATCGCAACGGATGTACTCCTCTGCATCAACACTAACGTTTTCCAACCTCAAAAGGGTACCTTAAAATTACCGCAAACTGTGTTTTTAAGGTGATCTCATACTCTTGAAACGGTGCAGAACCCGACTTCTTCTCTTTCGATACAAATTGCCTATCGAATTCGGGATTTACATAAAAATATTCATTTCGTTTTCCTTAACAGCAATGAGTCTAGAAAGCCAACTTTATATTTGCCACAATATGCTTTATTACTTTGAGAGAGAGGTTGGAAGGTGGTACAGCCATAAAGAGACCTCAACGAACTTTCCGGCGATGGAAAAACCAGCCAAAGCCAAGTAAGGAATGGGATCTGAGTCATATCCGCCCTGTTCACCAACGAAAGCTCCTATGGATTATCACGTCAATCGTCGGTTGAAAAATTGGCTAGCGAACGGAACTTAGGACGAAATGTATGACTTGGTGACCAATATGAAGGCGTGGGTAGCCTCTCTCGTGGGTCGCTCGAAGGCAACTTCTCCGTCTGTGAAGTTGGACTGCCTAGCAAATGGGAAGCAGTGCTGGACGTAGACGGTGTATACGCTTCGGAATGATTGCTTGCTAATTTTTTTTCCGTTTTCTTAAGTGAAAATAGCTGAAAATCACCTGTATCACCTGTCGTCCCGTTGATCGTCAATTTCCTCGAGCGGGCGCCAGTAACGTGTCCATTCGTCCCTGTCACGAGCCAGAGTGGCCCAATGAATCGTTCCAGAGACACGAGGATCAACATTCCTTCCGTTCAGAGCTTTCGTGAAGAAGTCTGATCATCTCGTTGGCGGCCGTCCTGGAGTTCGTTTGATGTCCCGAGGAATGCAGTCAGTGACCGCCCTGGTTTAACGGTCATCACTATATCGCATAACGTGTCCGGCCCACCTGATTTTCGATTTCGTGGCGTAGTCAACGACATCCCCGATCTTCGTTCGTCGACGGAGCTCGGAACTCCGGATTCCCTTCTTTACTTGCGTGTACAAGGAAATTCCGAGCATCGAAGCGGAATTCAGTGCGGAGTAGACGATGGTCCGATCCCGTGTAGAACTTCGGAACAACAGCGACGTTAGTCAGGCAAAATCCCCTATTGAAGATGATGTGGTCTATTTCATTATGGAACTGTCTACCAGATAACACCCGTGTCCATAGTAAATGAGAGGGCTTCTGGAATTGCGAGTTACCGTGAATGGTGTGGGTCGACATGATAAACTCGGACAACCTTTCACATTGCTCATTCCATTCTATTCCTTGAGTCTCGATGTGGAATTCTTCAGCCGTTCTTCCGGGTCAATCTTGGCGTTGAAATAACCAACGATGACCTTGAAGAAAGTGTGGTCTTTTCTGTGGAGCCTCTCCAGATAAATATAAAACGACGAAACGACGAACGGATCCAACTCCTCTTCTTCGTAGCTTGATGTTGGTGCGTAGGAAACGAAGATGGTTAGAGCTAGTGGCGAGCCACATCTTCTTAATCGCAAACGTCCGGTTCGGGTTGTTAAGCTTCCGTACGAATCGATGTTCATGGCCAAGTGCGTATTGACGAGGACTGAAAATATCCGCAGTGATTATGCATCAACCTAATACGAGCGTATTAAGCAAAAGTTCGTGAGTGGACGTCATTCAAGGCAGTGTATTTAAGAGAATGCTGCGAATGTATCTACTCGGCTGATTATTTTTGGAATGCAAGATATGACGAGACTTCATACTCATGAAATGCATCGTGCTGAGAACGCAGAAAAGTACTGTGTAATTCCTGCTGTTCAGTAATTGTGATGTGCCTCGACACACCTCAATCTCGCCGTAAATTCATGAAGATTGTCTCTCTTATGGATATGGTTTCGGAGGAATATGTGTACGTAATGCTCGGCATGCGCGGATTTGGATTTGGTGCATATCTTTTCTTTTTTCGTTTCAATTTTTCCATTTCTCGCATTTCTCTTTTTCAGGTCAAGTATCGAGAAGTAATGGACGTGAGTATTTCCAACGATTGTGAGAATTACTTTGTTCTGTGAGATGCAAGAATGCCTACTTTTATTGAATCCTCCCGAAACGCATTTNTTTCTTTGTTTGGAATGGTTCAGTACTGCTAAGAAAGTATCTACTATAAAAATTTGAATTTAAAGATTTCAATTGGACTGGAAGCTTCATTAGGATTCGCGAAGATTTTGTTTCCGACCACAAATTCTCGGTACATGCCCTTTATGGGCGTTATACACCGAACGCTACCTTGACAAGTGAGCACAGACAAGCTGGAACATATGTGTTTTCCTCTCTCAAGTGAACCTTCTCCAGCCAACTCAAAAGAATTCCAATTTTGAAAACGAAATATTAAGTTCAGAAGCACCTTTTAGAAAAAGACTACATAGCAGGGCAAATTTTTATTATGAATTACTTTCCAAAGTGTGTTTGTCGTGGTTTTATTCGTTGACGATGAGTTGGTAGCTGTCAAATCTTATTTCAGGTGATCTAGCAGCTCCAATCAGCACACGTAAGAATTTCCGTCATCTGCTCATTTTTCCGTGCTGCTACCGTAACCGCAGTTGAACACTAGAAATTGTCTGTTGCATTGCAGTATCCAATGGATTGACCCCTTTCTGGGAAGATCTGGAGAACAATCACGCCGATGATGCTATTGTAAAAGAAGCAGCTAAACGGATGCTGACGGCAAATTTTATACAGACCACTTCTACTGACATTCATAAGATCCACTGTGTGAATTTCAGATAGACATAAATGGTGATGACGTCGATCCACAAAAGCTAAAAGATTTTCGAGATAATGTGGTTGAACGAGTACGCGAAGATCCACTCTATTGTAGCACGCAAGCGTGCTTATCGAATGATGGAAAGTCGGTACGTTCAAATAGATTGGGCGACCTCTCTATTATTCTGTGAAGGGGCAGTCATACGAACAGGCTTCGAACCCCAAGTAGCCCAAATATTTAGTTACTGTTTTTGAAAGTGAAAATTTGATCCAGTGCTATTAAAATTAGTTAGTTTCAGGAGAACCCGCTTCAATTTATTTTCAAATTCTGAATCACGCTCTTACTCAGGATAGCTTTAAAACCCATCCCTACAATGTGTGATATGAAAGGGTAAATTCTTGGGGCGTTAATAGATCCCGTTCTGAATCGTAGTGTCGTATTTGATGTGTATGTGGCTTGCACAATGACCTGCGGTATCCAGAAGATGTCAAGTCAGTGCTTTTATATTCTCAGACGAGCCTGGTACCAAATGACCGAATCCGGAGGGATGGAAGGCTTCGTGTGTGAAGTCCGCCACTTGCCACTACGCCACTCCCCTAATGTACGATATACATATGTGATGGTAACTTCTAGAAACAACGAACAGGGCACGCGAAGCTGTAAAAGTAAACAACGAAATGCTCTATTGTTGATGCAGCCAGCTCCGCTTAACATTATGTTAGATGTACGTGTGTATACTAATTGTAACTTCAGGCAGCGATCTCCATTGAATGTGGAAGTTGAATTATATTCTCGAATAATCTGAATCGCAACGTGCCTTCGTATCCAGCAATGAAGAACAAATCAATGACCAACGTTATTTCAGATGGCGACGTGGGCACGGCACCTTCATGATGTTTTCTATTTGTACGGATTGGCTTTGAATGATTCACTAACAATGGATCCCTCCGGAGGGCATGCCAACGCTTCTACTCTCACAGAAGCAATGAAACGAAGTTTTGTAGGTGTGTAGTTCATCAGTTTTCTGCTTCTAGAGGATTCATGACTGACTTCTGTGAGGATCTATACGCGGTGCATGGTCTAAGCCGCTTTTGCTTTTGCGAAACTTTGAAAAGTAAAGCATGAAATATGGAGCCTACCAATTTTGACGGATGACTACTCCAGACACATGATCATCCAGCATCACACCAACGAGCCTGCCAAACATATAGAAGAGCCACTGAGTCTCGCTACTTCCGTTTTGGCAGGCTTTCTTTGAGCTTGCATAGGACCGTAGGTGTTCAAAGCCACTCCCGTTATCTCCCATTTTCGTTCGAAATACCGACTAAGAAACTCTAAAATTGAGAATGTTTGTGTTCTAAGAAAGAAAAAATCTAGTTTTATCCGTAACACTCAAAATCATTTATATCGCATGCATCGTATGGGTAGCAGTGACCTGATTTTTGGAAGAATTGCCTCAAGCAATCATGCTAATTATTCAGATTGGATTCCTTGGTGGGATAAACACCATGTATGGAGCTCGTTATATAGGTAGTGGCGTTGATCTAGTTTCTAGGTTATAGGCACGTGTTAGTTGGTCTCTTACCAGTCGTTGCAACCCCCATTGTGCTCTTTCCATTTCACAAAAATGCTATTGCAAATATTTGGGAGAAGGCGTTCATGTGAAAGTTGCTGAGTAAGTATATTTGCTGAGGTTTCCTGCTATTTGCTGTTCGATCTAACTGTTATTTCACTAGTTGCTATATACGCCGTATCTCTGGTCCTGTACTTGTTGCATAAGGGGAAGCACAGAGGATCCCCCATGTCACAATTATAGGTGTACCGTGCTAAGAAAGGAAGGTTCTAGATAGAACTGAAATTAACTGAAATGAGTTGCTCGCTATGCTATGCCATTTGTGTAGCTTTACTCCCTTAGCAACCAGATTGAGTTCTGCCATACTTGAAAGGCTCTGCTGCGAAATCTTTATCCTTTTAGGATTGACTGGATCGGTTACCATTAACGCAAACGGATCACGTATTCCATTGTTTTCGGTCTACGTTCTGGATGCAAACTTTAATCAAGTCACTGCTATCAATTTCACAATCATTGATGGGACACCAGTAAGTTACTTATACGTTTGCAGTCCAAACTCAATACAGCTGGACCCAGATGATTGCTAACCTTTTTTGAGGTAATGACGAAAGGCTACACACATGAAGCAACAACTCTTTGGGGAAGTCGAGGTGGCCTCCGGTAGGATTTTCTTCTACGTTACCATTGTTTGAACTAATGGAGCTGTATCATAGACCACTTGTTCGTCCGAAATGTGGCTACACGGGCACTGATTGCCCAAAGCCGTTCTGGGAGCAGTATGGCGTGTATGTCATGGTTGGAGGAGGGCTCATGGTAGTTTTACTGATTGTGACGGTGGTTCTATTTGTTTACGCTGTGAGGTGAGGACTTTTCTGTAAGAGTTTATCTTTTGTAACTTATACAAATCTATCAAATTGAAGAACACTGTAAGACATCATGTATGGGGGTTTTAGGGAATGGGAAAACATGTGTATTTGTTCTCAGAGTGTTAAGCGGCTAAGTCGGCCAGGTGAAACCCACCCAGGTGTTTTAGACTCCCAGCTAGNCTCTAATCCATGATATTCTTCAGCAAAGCTCCAGTCCACGAACAGACTTGAATTAACTTAGCACCTGATTGAGCCATCAATAAACTCTAATAGTTGATTCCGTTGCATTATTCGCAAATGAAATTTTTCGTTCTTACTTCTTTTTCCAGAATTCGGAAGGAAGAGGAAGAGCAGCAGCGTTTGCTATGGCAGATCCCATCTACGAAGCTGAGAAAGCCACCAACTTCGGTACGAAATTTAGCATTTGCAGTAGCTATCTTTCAAATCAGTTTCTGCATTTTTACATTTCCCATTTCACGCCGAACTTTGGAGGCTAGTACGTATAATGCTGCTCTTTTTCATATTCTCAGAATTTCGTTATCCTTCATATTCTCAACATTAATCTGTTGAATTACGTGTTACTGTCGACTGGTTTCTAGCGAGAACTTCAACAGGAGAGCAAACGTTCTCTACAGTCGGGTCCATCGACGATTACCGGAGACTCAAGACTTACACAATCAAGTTTCGGCGACTACGAGATCCATTTTCTCGAAAATGATGCTGTTCTGACCAAAACATATCCAGCAGTTGGATTGACAGAGGATGACAAGTCCATATTTCCCCAGGTATGTATCCTCATGACCTACTTAAGTCAATACTACTGAATAATCAACAAATCCAAAATTATTAGTTTAACGCTGACAGCGTGAAAGGAATAGCGTACCTTCCTACAATAGGTCAAGAAGGTTCCCAATTCTCATATGGCGATATGATTTGAAGATTCCTTGTTTGACTGAATATGAAAATCGATATGGCACTGAGAGTACTGATGGAAAATGTATTTCTTCCTATGAAGAGTAGCTATGCATTCCAAGATGTTTTGCGTTTCAACATCTTGATGGTTGAATGGTTTTCGACAGGGCGAGATGAATATGATTTTTGGCGAAGTACAAGCATAAGTAAGGCATTCCTCGTGCCTAAAAATTGACTTAATCAGTTGCACAACCCTAACTTATCAGTTGTGCATTGACATGCCTCACTGGTACAAATTCGTTAAACATGAGTCAACGACAGCAATAGATTGGGGGTGGTAGTCCTCCTGAGAGCACTGTGTCATTCGTTTAGTAGTTCTTCGCGATAGCTCAAGCTCTTATTCATGTTGTAATGCAATCAGAGCGGCTTGATTAAAGTCTGTGAGCTCCCCCGTAATTATGACGGAAGGTCATGACATTGTGCATGCAACCGCATTTGCAAATTTGTGTAAAAGTAGATACCACACGCGCATGGGCTTGGAATAGTTGATATACTCAGAATTTTGGAACTTATCGTAAGTCTTCTCCCTCCTCATTTATATTTACCCCTGTCTCAGTGAGCAAAAGGGTATGTATCACATTCAGATGAGGAAATGGGATCATGATAATGTTAATCGATTCATTGGGCTTTCGATTGATGGCTCCGAATACATAGCTATTTGGCGAATGTGTTCCAGAGGTACTCTACAGGTATGATTTCGAGAACAAGTTTTTTTAGTCGGCATGTAGAACCCTTGTTCCAGATCAAGTTTTTAAAATTTATAATGAGTTTGGTCACTGTTTCAGGAGCTCATCTCGAAGGGCTCATTGTGGGTCGATCCGTTCTTCATGCTATGTATAATGAGAGATATCGCTGAGGTAAGTCGTTTCATAAAGGCATTGCGATCAAGGAAACCTAAGGTACATCCATCATAGGGTACTCGCTTCCTGCAGAACTCGATCATTGATTGTCACGGTCGCCTCTCTTCAAACTGTTGTTTGGTGACTGACAGTTGGCAAGTTAAAATATCGGACTATGGCACCGATTCTCTGCGAGAGAATGATCGTCTCAAGAAAAGACGTAACTTTTTAATTTTGCAAGCATTAAGCGGAAGACATTCACTCTATTGTGTCTACTGACAGATTTGAAAATATTCTTCTCAGCATTTCAAAACATTTCGAGTTATGACGGAGTCAAAATGGAGTCAATCACATACTGGGTATAATATACTAACACATTTTACGGTCCGTTTTAAGAAGCAGCTCCGGAAACCGATTAGGGTGTTCTGGAAAATAAAGATTGGACATAAGATTCACGTATGATCCAACCATCAAGCATCACCGCATTGTCCGCTATAGTTTGAAGAGCATCGACAGTTTTTAAAGTAGCATGTCGAGAGAAGTGCATAGTTTCCCGTGCGCCGTACACGGAAGTAAAGGCTCCAAGAGAGCTCGGTTAAGTAGAAAAGGTCATGTTAAATGGAATAGTCATAACATGAGCGAGAAAAAAGTCAGTTAGGAAGGTCTGGCATAAGGACTGTGGTAAGTAATCANCTCCAAGAGAGCTCGGTTAACTAGAAAAGGTCATGTTAAATGGAATAGTCATAACATGGGAGAGAAAAAAGTCAGATAGGAAGGTCTGGCATAAGGACTGTGGTAAGTAATCAGGATCAATCTACTCCTCTTCTAGCTGAGTCACTGATAACTAGCACTTGGTATGCACCTTACTCGATCGAAACATTTTTGAGGGACAGTATCCGACAATGAGTGTATCAATAATACCTGTATCAAACTTCAACTCAAGTTTCTGTTGATGCTTAAGAGACAAGCGTTATCTGCTGCTCTTCCTAACCATTATTTGACGGCAGCAAATGAACTGTAAACCAAAGACACACGCTCTTTGAACGTATTTCCAGTTAATACTATAAGAAAGTTCTAGTCAACAATGGCATTCTTTCCAACTCAAGGCGAACCACTAGAGGTTTATTAGAGCTCCGATCATTGGACTCAGCTGATTTGTTTCATTCAAAATGCTTTTTTTTCGGAGAATGGCACTATCTTTTGTCCACCACAACTTCTAGATTCACTAATGAAGTGTTATCTGTGTTGACTACGTGATTGCGTTTAGTTGGTCTGAAATGAGTGAATGCTTCATTAAGGTCTATTATGGCTAGCTCCTGAACATCTACGATCTCCGGAGACCTCGGTGAAAAAGTCCAAAGAGGGCGACATATATTCTTTTGCTATTATCGCCTCTGAGGTGGTAACGCGGAAAGCGGCATGGAACTTGAGTGAACGAAAAGAACGAGTTGATGGTAAGGCAATCAGATTATGCGTGTTTTCCCACATGCATCCTATTGTTTCAGAATTGCTCTATATGTTGAAAAAAGGAGGACCTGCACCACCTCGACCAGATCTCAACGTAGACGGCGAAATCAATGTGGCGGTGGTAAAAATATTCATCTAAAAGAGCTAGCCTTTATTCGATGGTGCTGATGATTAAGTTTCGTAACCTCTGAATTTGTGATCTCTCGTTAGGTTCAATCATATTTGGGGCGTTGTATGGGTCTGAGAGGAAGGTTGAACAATTTATTCTTCAAGCAAACGATGCAGGAACTGCTCATTCCAGCGAGTAAGATAGATTTTTTCGTTGGAGCTGTACTAATCACATTACAACTCATTAACTCCTCAATTATACACCAAAACAATGAGAAAGTCAGGCTTTCACTCTTTTTTTCACAGTGCGACCATGATCCCTCGCGTTGGCTTGTGAAAGTGGAGTAAAGTTACAATGACCAAAGCTGGCTACTACTGCTCCTGTCGAATAAGCTTTAAGGAAACCAGAAGACCTCCCTGCTACCACCAAACATACACACTGAGTTCCAAGTATTAGTTATACGTCATATTAAAGCCTACTAGCCTGATCTTGCCACCCAATCCGACCAAAGAACGATGGGGTGACCGAAAGGATATCTTGTGAAGTCTAATTTCGAAGAATGATGGATTTTGAACGCTAATTCCGTAACGATTGTGTAAAGGAGAACTACGTTGAGTGTCAATTCATGTTTTACAGCTTCACCTTATTCGCGATTGCTGGAACGAAAAGCCGGCAGACCGCCCAAACTGTGAAACTCTGTGCAATATGTTGAAGGTAGTAGCATTGCTTCAGCCACAGAAGCTAGCATAAGACGTTTGTGTGAAAAATACGTGAGAAATGAGACTTCTTTAAAGACGATGATGCCAGACAACAAGGCCAACTTAATGGATCATATGTTTAATATGTTGGAAGACTACACCACAACACTTGAGTTGGATGTCGAAGAACGAACAAAGCAATTGCAGGAGGAAAAGAAGAAGGCTGACGTTCTTTTGGGAAAGATGCTGCCCAGGTATGAACGAACGCCTCTATCTTGTTGATCTCTCCAAGCACTTGGAACGTTTGATGCCAAAACGTGGTTACCTCATTGGTTCATGACCATCAGGAAAAGTGGCTTTGGCGATGGTGAAAAGTAGGACTAGGACTGGTAGATGACAGATCGAAAACAAAAATCTCATAAGAGACTTGAGAACTCCAGAAATGGTTCCCCTTCTACTTAACTTGCGAGGTGAGAAGGATCATAGGCAGTTTGTTCCTCCGCCTTGATGGATGGGCCACAGAAAAAGTTACCGAGTCCCAAATCAGTAAAATTGCTGTCGTGAGACATTGCTGCCCTGGTTTATAAGCTCTCCTCACTGCACTTCTACCCCATAAACCTACGTTTTTCGTATTCCTTGTCTGTGGAGGTGATGTAGTGGCAAGTGACGCACTATCTCACACGCACGGTCGCGTTCGAGTCTCCAATTGATATCTGCTATTTCCAAACGAGCCTTCCACTCCTCCGGGTCGGTTGATTGGTACCAAACTCGTCTAGGAACATAAAAGCACTGACTGGTACATCGGCTGGCCACCGCAAACCATTGTAAAGGCCACATATACATTCAATACGCCCCTACGATCCTGAATGAAGTAGAATGCAGGAGCGCAAACCTCAGAAAGTATTGATTAACGCCAAAAGACTTTATCAGTTATCCTGTACATGAAAGCGTCTCATCCAAGCCATATTTGTTTCTATCTAAAGAAGCTATTTCCAGGCAAGTAGCGGATCGCTTGAAGTTAGGACAAGCAGTGGAACCAGAGAGTTTCGACAGCGTCACAGTGTTCTTCTCTGATGTGGTCAAATTTACTCAACTAGCTGCTAAGTGTACTCCGTTTCAAGTATGTTGAGGAACTTGTTGTAGTGCCTGCAGCGCTTTGGTATTTCTCCTTCCCACTACAGGTTGTGAACCTTCTCAACGATCTTTACAACGGGTTCGATTCAATCATTGAGGATCATTCCGCGTACAAGGTGATGGTTGTCAGTCAGTGGTTGATAGTTATTTAAAGGGGATTGATGGCCTGCACACTCATCCTTTTTCATTGTTCTATTACTGGCAGAAAACGAAGAAAAGTAGGGCGATAATTGAATCAAACATATTTAATGAATTTACATCATCTTCAACGTATTTGCCATGGAAATAGATTTCTTACGGGACAATGCTCGAAGAGCCTATGACCAACACAAATATCATTTCCAACTGCCCTGATATCATGAGAACAGCCTTAAAGTCACTATAAAATATGTCATTGATAACTTACTATATTATATTATTATTATTTTATTATTATTATTAATAATATTATTATTATTAGCAAATATTATATTATTTCGCAACCATCTTTTATGGGGCCGCATTGTTTGCAAGAGGAAAAATTATTGAAGAATATCATATGACTTCGGACGAAGGGATTAGGTCAAGGAGAACTGATGATGGGGGATTGGAAGGAATGAGGAAAGGCATGCACTGGCTTATTATTACCTTCAAACCACCTTGTGCCCACTAACTGTGCTCTAATTAGTAGCTTCGTGGCTACATTGGTGTCCTAAACCTTATCCAAGAATAATATCTTAGGTAGAATCGATTGGTGATGGCTATTTGTGCGTCTCTGGTCTCCCAGTAAGAAATGGTTCAGCTCATATCAAGGAAATAGCTGAGCTGTCACTATCGTTCATGAAATTTGTGGATGAGTTCAGAGTAGTTGCTCTTCCGAGAGAAAGAGTTCAGCTTCGAATAGGACTAAACTCAGGTAATTGTTCTTACCCACTATAAACTTTTTAGGCGATGATAAGGTGTTTAGCTGTTCAAATTACTGCATCTGCCCCACCAACTTATAAATTTCCCTGAGCGCTATAATGGTCAGTGACAACATGACTCGCTTATGGTGCTTAAAGCATCAGAAGGGAAGATGGATTAGGTCACGAGCGATGTGGGTGAATGTAGTGGTACTGCCTTGATATACGCGTGTCTCTTTGACAAAAAAAAAGCCAGTTCGGTAGAAAGGGATAATATGTGTATATCAGTGAGCACCGTCACCGTCAGTGGGCTATTGGCGTGCCAAAACTTCATAGATCTCAGCTACCTCAATCAGCCGCGCATCTTTGTTAGCAACTTTACTCTGCAAGTAAAAAATGAAGGTTGTGTGAAGTCAAAGTTCCGTGAGCAAGGACTTGGTTCAATAGCGTTGACTCAGTGACGGTCACCGTTCTGGAACTAGGCCTCCGACCCATCATCGGTAAAAGAGCAGGGAAATATTTATTGAAGAATTTTCTGAATAGTTAACCGCGAATTTAAAGTTGACGTTTTGCAAAAATCGCTATACCGAATGTATTGCTGACAGAGAATGATGAGCGCGCAAAGGTCTTCTAACATTAGGTTAACGCATCTTTGCGGGCAGAGACGGAATTGTGGGTTAAGATGAATGAGAATTGACTGAAGTTGAATAGTTTTCTTTGAAGTCGAATCCACTGTAGGCCCCTGTGTCGCCGGCGTCGTTGGTTTGAGCATGCCGCGCTACTGCCTGTTCGGGGACACTGTAAACACTGCATCACGAATGGAAAGCAATGGAAAACGTAAGTCCGCAATTAAGAATTATTACATTGATGCATAATTTCTGCGGGTTTTTTCGCGGATTTCTTTCCTCAATACAATTTGCATATTGAAGTCAGGCTTCTCATAGAAATGATCTTCTCGCTTCCCTCAACAGGAATGCATCTGAAAAGGCATATTCACATTCGCCAAATTATGCTTCACTAGTTAGAGAAGGCTGTAAGGTAGCAGGGTCATTTCGCGATCTCAACGAAATTGTGGTGATGGAACAGTCAGCCAAAGCCGAGAAAAAAATAGGATCTGCTCCTGAATCCGTCATATTCACCGATAGAAACTATTTTGGATTATCACATCAGCTGTTCGTTGAAAAATTGGTTAGCCAACTGAACTTACGACGAAATGGATGGCCGATGGCCGATGAAAAGGAGTGGATCGCCTCCAAGAACCGAAACCTCTCTGCACCAAAGAACGGACTGCCTAGCAAATGGGAAGCAGTGCTTGACGTAGGTTGTGGACATGTTCCGGAGTAATTATTCGAGCATTCATTTGGGTGTTTTTATCGTTTCTTCAGATAAAATTTGCCTGAAAAATTCCGCTGCAATTATGCATCAACCTATCGTTTTTGAAAGAGTTGGCGTAAATCTGTAGAATAGGGAGAAAATCATCTTGTTTGAAACAGATTAGGCCGAAGGTTTGCTGAGGTTTCCTTAAAACTTGAAGCTTATTTTCGGCAATTTTGTTTCATTCAGCGAGTCACATTCATATGTCCAAGGAAGCGCACGACTTGCTTGTTAACGGATACCATGCAGACTATGAGACACAGTCAAGAGGAGAAGTAATTATAAAGGTGAAAGCAACTTGTTTCTGATCTGCTGTCAGATTTGAACTCAACACACATTACATATTTATGTGGCGTCCAGTCTATTGATTGAATTTCTGGATAATCTCAAGATATTCGTTTATCTACTTGATTATTTCATACGCTCAGAGGGTGTCCAACCCTTAGCAGTTATATCCATCTTTGAAAAGTATCCAAGAACAGTGAAGAACCCAAAAACCGGGTAAACTCCGTCTTTGCCGGAAGCTGAGTATGAAGTGCGACTCCCCATGCAGTAGTTTGAAGTACATAGTTCCAAAGCGAGCCTTTTCCTTTTTGGGCGTGATTTCAAAGTGAATAACGACCCATCTTAGCGTTTTACCTCAAACTAGCCAATGAGAGAGATCTTAAAAAAGGTTAGTCAACCTTCATTATTCTTGTACGGCTAGCTGATCTCTTTCTAATTTTTCTTCTTATCTTAAGGCGTGAAACATAAACTAAAAAACTATACTCTGTATATGGAATCTCACCAACATTTCTGATAAAATATTCAACGTCTCCAAAACCATTTTAGGGAAAAGGTGTGATGGAGACATTCTGGTTGATTGGCCGTCGAGCAGCTTCCTCCACCAGATTTCCATCTGAAGAACGTGTGAAGCAAAAAACAGAAGAGCATTCTGAGCAACTCAAAGACGATCCAAACATTTCTGCAGAGCTGAATACTGCACAGAAGACGCCACCATCGACTCCGGGCTCTGTTTCCTCTAATACAATGTACAAAGAGTACTTACGTAGCACAATTGAAGTCTCATAGTTGCCGAAAGTATTCTTAAATGAACCCTATTGTTCTTCGTCAAAAGTGTATACTGAATTGCTGTTGATTATATTTTTATGGATTTCAACTGCCTCTGATGAATAGCCCGTTATCAGCCTGCGCTCTGATTGTTTTGTCTTTGAGTTATTGTAAGGCGAAAAGCAGTGTCTTCAAATAGGCAGCCTTACTGAATTTTCACGAAGGAGAAGAGCCCGACTAGACTAGACTGGAAATTCCTTTGTTTATCAACATTTCAAAATCGGCATTTTATCAAATAGGCGGAAAGTCAGCCAGCCAGAGGGCAGATCAAGGATAAGGCGGTTTAATGTCCCTCTATGAATATGATTTCAAGAAGAAACACGTGGTTCTGCCTCTTTTTCCCGGCCTGCAACTTTAAACGAAGGTAGAAGGTTGTTAGATATTATCAGTATCGACTAATATCAAAGGGGTAGAGTTATATCCTGTTGGTATCCACTGATAATCTAACTCTTAAGGCTCCCTTCATGGGATGCATCCCTCCGCATCTATGTTGTTGTTTGATCAATGATTACCTTGTCAATCACACCACAGATCGATACTAGTCACTATTGATTGATCGGAATCTTTGAGGCGGAATAGGCAACTATGCTTAGGTCTATGCTGCATAAGCGCTTTCAATAATAATACTTCAACCTACATTTTGAGGCTTTTCTTGGCTGTAGCCCTTATGTTTGTAATCAATCCTGTCTAGGGGATGCGCCCACGCATTCGACTTCCATTCAAAGTCGTAGTGACAAATTGAATTTGTATGTGGCCCATACAATGACTTTCGGTGGTCAGCCGATGTATAAGTCAGTGCTTTTGTCCTCCCAGACGAGTCTGATACAAATCAAGCGACCGTGACCATGGGCGTGCGATAGTTCCCCACTTGCCCACTTCGCCGCCTACACCATTTCTGGCCCTTACTGCATCATTTGTAAGTACACGGGAACTATCGCACGCCCATGGTCACGGTCGCTTGATTTGTATCAGATTCGTCTGGGAGGACAAAAGCACTGACTTATACATCGGCTGACCACCGGAAGTCATTGTATGGTGCACATACACATTCAATTTGCCACTACGATTCTGAATGGAAGTGGAATGCGTGGGCGCATCCCTTAGACAGGATTGATTACTGTCCGAAAAACACAAACATAAGGGCTACAGCCAATAAAAGGCTCAAAATATAGGTTGAAGAATTTTTATTGAAAGCGCTCATGCAGCATAGACCATAGCATAATTGCCTATTCCGTCTCAAAATACCGATCAATCAATCGGGAAAGCCCCGTGAGCCAGCAACAGGGAATTATCGTGAACCGTGCCTTTAAAAACCTGCCCGTTGTTGCAGTCAGGGTCCCGTGGAAGGTGGAGGGCGCATTGGGAGGAGAGGGCAGAGCAAGGTTGGATGAGAAAGCGTTCACAATTGCCTTTAGACAGTATTATTTCAATCGGATGCTGTACTACAGTGTTTTGCATGCATTGTATAATGCTGCGCTACGGCCGCAGCCTTACAGCGAGCTAACTACTATCCTCAACCCTCCAGCCAATCCAACACGAAACCATGGTCGTGCGAGAAATTCCTAAGCATTCTTTTGACCATGCTTCGCAGTAGACATATTACATGGGGAGATCTTTTGAATTTAGGGCATTTCCGTGCATTTCTGATAGAACGTCAGAAGCGCTAGAGCGGTGGAGGCGCTTGGTGGGATAGTGTGCAATCAACAAGCTTTGAACCATTTTCAGGCCTTCGAAAAAGACGAGTCCGTTGAAACGTTGGCCACAATAAATATTCAGACCTAACAACCTCGAGGCAGAAGCAAAATTATTAATTACGTGGGGAGACTTTTGATTTATGAACTGGTTCCTCCCACAGAGGAAGCATTGTTTTTGATTAACTGGGCAGGTTGTGTCCGATTAGAACTACCTCTAGATAATTNTCTTGAAGTTGTTAGTACATTCTTGACGCCTTAGACTCGAAAAATGCCCCCTTTTCATATTGGACTATTCCTTTTGAGGTTTATAATGCCCTGCATGGACCTGACACACTAGGATTACCGAAATGGAGAAGCCGGGGCATTGGTTGGGGATGCTAGCACGGAAAAAGGCAAATCTCTCTGCACAAACAATTAATGACTGGAAGGTGATTTCAGAAGATAAAAAACAAAACCATTGTGTTGTAGGTCGACTGGCTATCATCTGTCGTTATATCACATAAGGTCAAAAACGGATTCAGAATTCTTTTACATCCCTTCATACAGAATGAGAATGTAATGGTGTCGGGAAATGGATCTGCAAAGATTTATGATCATGAGATCTCATGGAAATATGGAGGCTATGCGAGCAGTTTCCAGATTTTGCTTCTTTTCCCCACTTTCCTGGTTGCTCTGTAAAAATTATGTGTCGAGTTGTTCGGATTCATTCTTCTACTTCATTCATCATAGAAGAAAGATTAGGGTCTAGCTTTGAGGTTTGGTCAAAGTAAGGAGTTCGAGTTCCGGCTTGATATTCGTTTGCCACACTGTAATTAAATGAGTGTATCAAAGGGGAAGTCATGTGCTACACTGTAATTAACTGATCATATCAAAGGGGAAGCCATGAAGTGTGTTGTGACTCATTCTACTTAGGCTTTCTCAGGCCCTTAAATTCCGGAATTGGAAGCTTGCCGGAAGTTAACAGAGTATTGAAAAGCAGCCATAGAAGCTCAGTTCTAATTATTGCACTTCAAGAGGCTTCGGATTTATGTGTGGGCTCCATGTGTTTTCGAAGAAGAAGCCTCTTCTGTCCTCTCTGAAAACACTGACTCACGTACTTACACTTGCATGATCGCTCTGCTCCTTTTCTGTCTGAATGGTGTTGTTGATTCGCAACAAAAGAAAGTGGTGAGTATTCTTTCCATAGCTTGCTTGATGACCTTACATCGTTGAGCTAGAGATCTACGAATCCACTTCTCTTCCATTCATCTCTTCCGGTTCGATCTTTTTGAAATGAGGTATGTTCAGGTGACTGTCGGAGTTGCTGCCGTGGAAAATGTCTTGCCGAATTTTATGGCATTCTCACAAAGCGGTGGCGCTATCGGTTTAGCCCTTGATCGAATGCGTTCCGAGGGTATAACGGACGGGATTGACTTCAGGTGATTGGAACCTTTAGTGATTCTACAATCCTGCGCGATCGTAAGCATTTCAAGTGAATTCTCCTCACTTGCAATTATTACTGCCATCCGATAATCGTTTGATGGATGCGACCGCAAAACAACTTCCGGTGTTAAACGCTTTATTTAAAACCAGTTGGGCTGCCCGGTTTACGCCGGGCCCTCATTCCTTACATTTATTAATCAGTTAGAAATGCCTCCCCCCCCCCCCCCCCCCCCCACTTAAGTGAAGAAATGTAGAGGAATGTAGGATAGAGCTGGGTTTTCCATATCACTCTCTTATCGTAATCATAAACTTTTGCGGACGGACACACCGACATACCGACATACCGACACACCGACAAACACACAAACCGAAACCGACACACCAAGTTTTTGCTTTATAAATGACAAACATCAAACATTACACCAAACAGTACGTTCATTTATACTCCTGACTGTTCGATAGTTTACTGTATGGTCTTAAAGGCCCAATTCTTGATAGAAAGCTTGCCTTTAGGAAATATCAGTGTTCTTCAAATATGTCATATGGGAGACTGTCGACTGCTATAGCGGCTCACAAATGTATCCACCGTATGCTGCCCCAGAGATGCCCGGGTTTCGAAAATCGTGCAGAGACAGCACCATTAACAATGGAGCTGTTTCTCCAAGGAACAACTCCTTGAAAAAGCAGCTCCATTGCTTGCTGGAGTTTCAAGCAGTCGACTAAAGAAATAATCGTGATCATTGTCTATTGTGAGCTCTGCCTTTAACTTTCTCGAGAGCTTGCTGTGCCCCTCATCCCAACGTGTATTATTCGTCACTTGACAGAAATTAACCGAGTGAGGGGTGCGCCCTTATGACCGCATCGCTTGATCATCATTTGGTAACTGCGTTGAAGCGAAACCTCATAATCTGCGTTTTTCTTTGAAATTGAACCCCTTTAAATGGATGTGTTCAGATTCATAGTGAACTACACCGAATGCAGCTCTGAGACGGCCGTTGGAGTGGCTCTGGAGTACATGATCAAGCAGAAGGTCGACGTCGTTATTGGGCCTCCTTGCCCAAATTGTTAGTTCACTTCTTTATGAGTCAAAGCTTCACGCGTTCCAATCAAGCTGGTATTAGGGAGACAGAACAGTTCAACCTAATCTCAGCCAGCCATTCAAGCAGGGCGACAGAACGACTGGGTTCAAATATTAAATATTTTAAAGGACCTCCGCTTTTCCTCTTCTGATCAAGATTAAGGAATGCTAAGACTATCTTCGTTCTAAAAGCTATAGGTAAATGGAAATT